CAGGGAGGTCGGGGCTGGCTGGGGGCTGCATCTTGCAGGGAACGAGGGGATGCTCCTCCCAGGAGCTGTGTGGTTTCAGCTCCAGGTCTCACATGCGGTGCCAGTGCAGGGTCTGAGCTCTCCCCATCATCAGCCACTTTTTCCTGCTCCCTCCTTTGTGCCACTGATCAACCATCGCGGCATCTTCACACAGGTGAGGTTTTGGGTTGGGTACATCTCTCACAGGTGAAGGTCGATGAGGAGCTGGACACAGTGGGAGACCAGTGGGGATGGTGCTGGTGGCTGCAGCTGTGACCCCAGGAACCCAACCCCACCTGGGCCGAGCTGAGGCCACCATCAGTGCTCCAAGACTCACTCCCTGTTTTGTGCCACAGGCGCAGCTTTAATTGCCGTGGGTGCTTGAACACAGACAAATACAGCCCAGCAGTACCTGCCCCCCCCAGCCCCCTGAGCAGAGGCGGGTCCGGGCTGTGGGTGGTCAGGGTGCAGTGTGATGGAGGGCACAGCCATGTCCCTGCACAGCTGCTGGCTGCATCTGGAGCATCCGCTTTCCATGTCCATTCACCACCGTGCATTTAAAAACAAAACAATAAATAGCAAAAAAATAGATATGTACATAAATAAAATAACCCTTTTTTCCATTTTTTTTCCTACGGGATGGTCTGGAGCTGCTCGCAGGGCTCAGCGGACGAGCATGGGGAGGAAGTGTGTGGAGGGATGCTGCCGGCGCGTTGTGCCCCCTCGCTGCGGCCTGCCCTTGCTATTGAGTGAGAGGAACATGGGGCGGCCGCGATGCCGCCAGGGCAGCGACGCGTACGTGTTGTAGCCGTTCTCCTCGATGCGCTCCGTGAACTGGCAGCTGGGGCTGAACTCCTTCTGGCAGGAGAGGGAAGGAAGTGAGGGCCGGCATCACCCTGTTCCGGTGCAGCCAGACCCCGGGGCAGGGAGGCTCTGTGGGTGCCATCCCCCAGTGCAGGAAACTAGGAGGGCTCCTGGGCACCGGTCCTGGCACATTCGGGACCCCCAGCTCCTGCTCTGCCCCGGCGCGGTCCTGCTCAGGGGCAGCGTCTGACCTACCGACCCATAGAGCCGCCCCCGCTGGTTCATGGCCAGGTAGAAACCGGTGTGCACCGCCCGGATGGCCACCATGCCGACATGCACCGACCGGATCTCGACGACGCCTGTGGGACAGGGGGGTGCAGCACTGAGCAGGGGGGTATGGGAACCCCAAGGGACCCTGTCCTGGGTCTGTGCCTCCCCCCAGGGAGGGAGCCACTGACCCTTGCCCTGTGCCAGGGCTTTGATCCCTGATCCAGGGAGGGTTTGATCTTTACCCATCTCTTCCCCAGGGCCCAGCCATGTCCCAGGACTGGGCAACGTGAGAGCAATGCCATAACTTTCACCCACCTGGAACAATCGCGTAGCCCCAGCCCGGTGCCGACCTTGAGTTCACCCTCCCCTTGTTGCCAGCTCTGCCCCTCATGCAGTTGCAGTGCCCTGGGGACCCGGCTCCCTCGCGTGGCCCTCAGGGGGCCCTCGGGTGGATGGAGGATACTGGGCAGAGGGCAGGGATGAGTCTGGGACGGTGCTGCCCATGGGCGCCCACAGTGATTGCGTGGTGGGGACGAGCATGGACACACAGCCCTGCACCAGGCACTGTGGGCGGGAGGGATGCAGTGGCACAGCAGGGCATGGGGATGAGCCCAGGAGGTGGCTGCAGTCGGGAGTGCATGTGGAGTGTATGTGCTCGGCCGTGTGCGAGTGCCCATCCATGTGCGAGTGCCCACCTGTGTGTATCCAGCTGCCCTCCCAGCCGCTAATGGCAAAGGCATGCGGTCAGACCAGCAGCTCTGACAGGGGAAACACCCAGAGCATTGTCAGGGCCTCTGGATTCCTGCGCTGCCTCACGGTCGGCCAGCCCCGAGCCCTGCATCCACAGTGGGGAGAGGGGCTCTGCTGCAGGCAGAGACGTGGGCAGGGCAGTGGGTGAGGAGTGCACTCCAGCGGGAGCTGCCCACAGGCACTGCTGCCGGGTTGGGAGAACACAGCACAGGCACTGTCACCAGGCATCGGCCCCTGGCGTTGCCTCCCTGGGGGCACCGGTGCCCTGGCTTGGGGTGGGAACGGCACCATGGCAGGGTGAGACTCCTGGGCATTCAGCCTCTTTGGGCAAGGGGGAATTGTGGATTTTTAGCCCAGCTTC